GTTTCTGTCTGGGTTCTTTGGAGTTTATTCTTAATTGTGGTGTTAGTTTACCCCAGGCATCAATAAACAGCTCTTTGTCATCTTTCAACAGAACAACTTGTGTCATCCACACTACCCTGCTATTTCATTTGTTTTTTGTGTGAACATTCAGTATTTATTGTATGGATTCTGCATGTTTCTCTTAGTGTCTTTTTGTGCAGTTTCCACAAAAACAATAAAACTTGAGTATAACTCAAAAATAATACATACAATACATGTGATGTTCAGGGCTGTAAAAGTTAGAGAATTCTTATTAAATTACTTCACGATTTAGCCTATTAAGTATGAATTATTCACAATAAATTATAGTATTATTGCTAAAGATGGTAAGGAGAAATCTAGCCATAATCAAAATCTTAAAATCAGACAGTTTGTGTCCAGGCTTGTGTAACAAAATGAAAATGATCTAACTAGTCCCTTAAGTTAATGTTAAACTGTTAAATTTTCCCAAGGAACTAGTTTCTTTTCCCAACAAATCAAAAATATTAATTTACGTTTTAAATGTATATTATAATGTTGAACTATTTTTGCCTCATTTATAATATCGATTTGGAAATTGTGAACATATTTATATTAACTATAAGCTTTATCCAAGTACAACATTTGAAATAAATAGAAACAAACATTAAACAATATCTTTCTTTGTTTTCTGATAAATGTATTCTATCATTTACAGTCTATAGCTTTATTTTCAAAAAATATTTTTAGAATAAAAACCATTAGATATCTGAATTCATTGAACACAACAGAAAAGAAGCCTCATGAAAGTTAAATTTCAATGTCAAAAGGAAATTCAAAAGTAGTCATTTGTATAAAGAAAGAAAAAAATGTTTAGACTTTATAGTTTTATTTAAAAATACTACTTATACTACTTATTGGCCTGGCATTATTCTGCTAATTTTGCACTGTCCTAAAACCTGCAAAGGAACAATGGCTGATCTGTAGTTTGTACTTACTTAACAGTTTTTACATAGTTCCAAAGGTTTCCAGTAGAGGTCAGGATGAAGCAGAGATAGGATTGTTGTAAAAAGAAAGTGGTTGATCTTTTTTTTGGCTCTACATTGTTTTTTTATGAATGGTTATAAGTTGTGCTTTCTTTTCCAAACTGTCAGCCTATGATATTTCAAAGGAATTTATTGAATCCCTCTTAATTAGCAAACAGAATTACCTCGACAGCTAACACCAGCTGTCTTTCAGCATTCTGGTCTATGTAACTACTTCTTCTACAACTGTAAATTTGTCACGTAACGTACATATCACCATTGCAATTGAAGGGACGGGTTGTGAAGATTAGTCAGATACAATGTTATATGTTTACTTGGTTGCATTAGGTGTCAGTACATTGACTTATTCTATTTCAGTCTGTTACAGTACAATTTTTTGTTTACAGATATTTGTGCATTGCGCAAACCCTATTCCATGAAATTAGTTTTCAGAAAAGCTTTCTGTTAGTTAGATTTCTGCTAGCTAAGCTTGCAAAAGACTGGACAATATCAGTGGCAGCTCTTGGCCTTGCTATTGGCAGTGAAGCTGTGCAGTTTCCACTCCAGATGTGCCTCAGTGCAGAGAGTGAACAGCTTGGTCATAAAGAATATGGTTGTCTTCCTGTAACCCATGCTGTTTGAAAACTAACTACAGTGGCAAGAAACGTTGAAGAACCATGGCTGATAAGACAAAAATTATTCAGATTTTTTTTTTCTAAGACGTGTCTCTTATTTTCATTTATTGTTCTTCTGTGCCAGAAAATCCAAAATATTTTTTATTTTGTTTTACTTTGTTTCCTTTGGAGTGATGGCATTTGAAGAACTTGATTCAAACATTTCTTATTCCCAGTGTTTGTACAGTATGTGATTTTGGCTTGGTGATTCCATTTCTATATGACAGGCTCTTAGGTCAACATTTTACAGTGTCATCTTTTGTCATTTTGAATTTGTCTTATGTATTCCAAGTGTCACTTCATTCACGTGCATATACACCTGATTCTGCTGTCCTGATTATAAAAGCTGCTGTGACAATCTGACTTTATTCACAGTTCCCATATAGCTGAGTACATTTAAGAGCCTAGAATAAAAATGAGAGGCCTGTAAGATTTAGTCTAGTCTTGCTGGTATAGTAACTAAACCCATGCCAGTACATTGCATGGATGTGGACAGTTTGCATTTCAAAGTGCCTGATTAGGATAAGGGTTGCTTATTTGCTTAATTTCCAGGAAGCAAAGCAAATGTCAGAATTATTTATTGACATTGTGACTTCAAAGAAATCAATTATTTTTTATAGTTGAAATTAAGTTTTAATGTTTAACTTAGAGTTGATTTTTTATATGAAAGCGTCATGAAGCAGGTCTTTCATTTTCCACAAAGCTGTTTATTTCCTTCTAAATCTTTTGTAATTTCATTTTGTATTTTGTTACAAGCACAAGTATGAAAAGTGCATCAGACTTCTGCTAGTATTCAGGATGTAAACAGATGTTCCAGTAGAACACCACCTGTGTGCTCCATAAACTGAAATGTGTAGGAAAATAATCCAGAATACTTGCAAGGATACTTTGAACAAAGGATACAGAGGATACTTTGAAGCCACTGTCATACCCCAGATTTCATCCACTGTGCCAATGAAAAGCAGATTAAGAAATATCATAAAATAAGCAATCAACATTGATGTGTATGCATGATGAACATTTCTTGCATAATACCCCTTTAGTTCAGATCAAATGTCACATTGTCATGGGCACAGAAAACTGGTTACAGTCGACTGGAACAAAAGCAAAGGGCATATTGTTTAGAACTAATTTACCTGTGATCTTTTAACAGTGACTATTTTCAAAACTATTTTTTCCTATCAGCTGCTTTGATGTTCAGCACTTCCAAAGGTTAAAATCTTTAGGAAACCTATATATAGTATATCATATATTCAGGCAGGGGTTAAAATTGTTTGGTATCAATTTATTTTTCTGCTTTATGAGCATTGGTCTCTTGCACAAAACATCAGCAAAAAATGTAGTGTGGTATTTGAATGGTGTTTAGTTTTTATAAATATGTTTTGAGCTTAATACAAAGGAGCCCTTTCATCCTGCTTGCAACAAAGTAACTAAGGCAACAACAAGCTTTTTAAATTCTGAATTTAATCTTAAGACTCTATCACACTTTTGTTATGCTGACTCTGAAACCCAGATTTTTTAAACCCAGAGATATTGTAGTGAGACAAAGCAGGCCTCTGTCTTAAGTCCCACTGGATCACAAAGATAGATAGCTGCTGTTTGGTCTTTGACAGCTGTAATAGTAACTCTTTAAGCAAAACAGAACCTTTACTGGTTATTTTGTTTCTGTTGAGAAAAGTAATAGAATAAAGAATAAAACAGAAATAGCTCATATTGTGGCTCTCTCTTCACATGAAATATAAGGTTATACAATTCATATTTCTTGGAGTATTTTAGTTTTGATATATTTCAGATGCAGTTTTTGAGATTCCCTTTAGTTGCATGTTAAAGCTGTATGGGAGAGGAAAGTTTAATTACTAGGAGTAAAAGTTAAGCTGTGTGGCATGGGAGCAATATCCTTGTACAATATTCTTGTTAAAAATAAATCAGATATGGATTTTGCTTCATTCAGTTATAGTAATACACTTCTTTATCTCTAGCACTTCTGAAAGATAGAAGCATTTTGGCCACAACAAATTATTAAACTTAAATATAATACTGTTACAGACATCTCACTCATCATTAGATACAGAACACTTTGGAGTCACATTGGCGTCATGTCAGCCTCATACCTTGGACAGAAGAGTCACAACTGGTGACAGTTATGGTTACCAAAGTGTTGTCATTGGCACATCAGTGTCTGTTGACAGGCACAGTAAAGGTTTTCTTCCTCAAGCTTCCCCATTCTTTGAACATACTGTGTAGAACAGCTGTGAGTTAGTATACACTGCATTATTTATATGGCTGTCTCTTTTAAACAAAGAGACCCACGTGTGTACTCGTTTATCAAGTTGGAGTGAAGTACATAGCAGTGTCCTTTATTCACACAAAATTTGAACCCACCAGTTTTACTTATGAGTCTATCATCCATTTTCTTTTAAACTCCAAAATAAAGTCTATTCTAAACTCAAGACTTGTTTGGAGAGTGACTGTCACCACGTCTCTAGCCCATACCTCTCCAAGCACTCTCAGGTTAAGCATTCTTTATCTGCTTACAAAACAGAAACAAACAATTGTCCTAACTCTGTCAGGATGCCTCAGCTTCTTGGTTTTAAATCATCACCTGACCAATCACTCTTCAACATCTGGCCAGGTGACTGAGGACAGTAGGACATTACCCTCAGCTTTGTGGGAAAATGTAGTTCAGGCCAGAGTTTGGCACCTTGTCAGCCACCTGCTGTCCTCACTCAGTGCATATTTATTAGCCATTGTGGCTTATTTATTTAACACAATTTGTACACAAGTATCCATTGTTGCTGCATTATACATAAATGCATAAGTATTTGTCTTCAGTCTACAACTTATTCTGTCTTTGCCAGGATTATTTTTCCGCTGAATTGTTCTTTATGCCTTAGAGTAGTCTAACCAATTGAGTCTGAATAGGGTGAATCATTTGTGCTAGATACTCATTTTTATGTGGTTTATGGAAGTATTATGTCTTTATTTACACATAATAGCTTACTAATTGGCTAAATGTTATTCTTTTACATAGTTTACATTGATTCATAACTTTTATCATTAAGTAAAAATATTCTGTAGTGGTTCTCTTGATACCATAGTGGTTTAAATTGTAAATCCAAGGACCTGTAACCACAAACCACAGCTTTTCTGGACTCTTGTTGAGATCTTGTTGAGATACTGTAGGCTGTCTAGCAGAAGCCTGTTTCTCTCTGGTCTCTGAATGCTGAATGTTTTGGGTCTTTTCAAAGTACTTGTGTCTGAGAGCCGTCAACGATTGCGTCTCTCTCTCCTCCGGCCCCTGCAGGGTTCTCTTCTCACCGAGCGGGACTACGAGAGCGTGGTGCTGATGCGGATGCGCCAGGCGGCGGAGAGACAGCGGCTCATTGAGCAGATGCAGAGGGAGGACGAAGAGGAAGCAGCACGCCCCTAGCCCGCAGGACTCTCTGCCTCTAGTTCAATAAAGCTCTTCTTTTTTTAAAAGCACAGAACTGTATGGATCAAGTGATTTCATACTTTGTTGGCATACTGATAAATAAATGTGTAAAAACAAGTCGTAGGAACCTGTTTTTTGCACACTCTATGAACCAGTATGTTACCTTAACGCAGCAAAGATTATGGCTGTTTATACAGTATGTCTTTAGAATTTGGAATTGCCCATCATTTATCAGTGCTTGCTCCTACTTCTCTGCACCGGCATGAGAAGAATGATATCTGGGAGCACTGTTCTGACATGCCCACTGTTGAACTGCTCATGATTTCACACACAGTCAACGCTAGAGAGCCATTTGAGGAGAGTTATCACCAATTTGAGGAGCAGTAGTCTTCTAGGTGACAACATTGCAAGCTTACAAGCACCTGGCAGGTTCCTGGTGGGGGTTTCTAATGCATACCAAGTCAAACATGCCAAACTCAAAACCCAGCATAACCTGACAGTGCTCTACATCTTGGGGAATCACTGTTCCTGTGTGTTCATTACATTGCCGAAGCTTGAACCTTATAATGTCTAGACTTTGGGGCTCAGCTTGCACACTGTGCAAAGCTACCTTTACTGATTAAGCCATTTTGGGAGCTTTCCATGACTTATGAGCTAGAAGCATTGTAGGTATAAAACGGTGGTGTTAAATGTTTCATTCCCCAGCTCCCTTTGGGAAAGGCTACTGAGTGATGGTTTACAGACATGGTGACTTGAAGCACTGTAGAAAGTTACAGTATGTCATATATAAGAGTGAAATAAAAAGGGGCCCAGTCAGGTTCTTCGTTAGATTATATATCAGTGCAATTACTTCCTCACTTATTGCAAAATCCCTTTGATGGAACTGATTATTATTTTGTACACTGAGTCCCAGGACTGTTATCATTTCATTACTGCCTGTCAGAAGAGTTCTTGCTGTTATGAAAAGAGTAAAAACTGCTTTTTGGGATTTCCTCCAATTTGGATTTCTTAATCCTCCAGACTAATATTGCAAATCAGTTCCTTATTTATTTTTTCAGTTCTATAATTTCAGCCAAGAGCAAATTTCTCCCTCATTGAATAGTTCTTTTTGATTTATTTTGTGTATCTTTATAATGTCCTTTGTGTTTCTGCACTGCTTAAATCATTTGCCATGCTTCTCTTGGGGAGATAGATATGCAACAAAAATTGTAGAATTCCTTATTGTATATATCTGTGCATGGAATTAACCCCTATGACTGTAAACATTCAGTCTGATGGAAATGATATTCAATTAAAATGTTTTACTGATTTTAAAAGGCTAGTGCTGAAATGCATCTGTTAAATAATATGTGGAAAAGAGTTTGAAAAAAAGATGTTAAAATGTGTAATTGAGCTCAACGAGTCAAATTGCTTACTGGATCCCATGTTGAGCCCTGCAGACCAAACCTGTCCAGTTTGGAGCTGGGTTCTCTCGTGGGGTAACTATGACCAAGCAGCCCCAGGTGGCAGTGGCAGTCCTTGGCATTTGATGAGTGCCTGGGAGCTGTTGCTATGAGACTGCTCTTCGGGAGCTGTGCTTACTTTCCTGAAAAGGCACGTCAGTACTTGTGTGGATTGAGCTCTGCAAGGTGGGCATCTTTAGGATTTTGAATTCAAAAATGGGATTTACGTGGAAAAAAAAAACTTGTTGATACCAAAAGTTATCAAAAAATAATTAAGCAAATCCTGTGAATAATGAATGGGGAGACGCTCCACAAAATCCCCGTTGTGTTAGAGGATTGAAGATTTACACCACTGCTAGAACCCCCTGGATTCGCTATGACTGCTTTATTCCCTGCTTATATTTTAGCCAAGCATTTGTAATCCTTCACACTTGACTTGTTGTCTAGCCTGATATGCTACATAGACAATTTTGTATTCAACCGTTCACCACATGTACAGTATTGATTGTCCACCCACATTTACTTTAGTAATTAAGAAATTTTGAAAGACGTTCTCAGAATTGATTGGTGCTGTGCATAACTTTAGCTTTGAACCCAAAGAGTGATTTTGAATCCATTGGTATTGAGGCTTTTTTTTTATTAAAATCATCACAATACTATGATTTACATCATGTAGCAAGTCCATATATGACCAAATTCATCATTCAATTATCCTTTCAACAACATGTTAGTTGCAACCAACTTATACCAATAATATGCCACAACCTTTACTTAAGTTGATATTGCTGGAACTATCTTAAACATTTCCATCAATATTCAATCTTTCGCATTTCAAAATCCAGCAATCTGTTAAAACAGCTCACATCTGTGATGCAAATCAGTGTTCTCCAGTATGTTAACAATTTTTTTCTAGGTGGTTCTATTTGTGTTGTGATGATTGGGTTTTTTTATATTCTTCATAACCAAAAACATAACCCAATTCAAATTACAGTAAAAGAAGAAATGGAATCACATGTATTCTCGAAGAAACACATTTCTCTGCCAGCATTTGCCATTTCAGAAAATTAAGCCAGAGGAAAAATCGTTTTAATCTTCCATTCCATATTCTGTGCATCCTCCACTTTGAACCTGCCAGTTCAGTGGAGAATGAAACCTAAAGTTTCATTTCCTTTGACAAAAATGTTACCGTTGATGGAAATTACTGCCACTTTTCAGCCAAGTCACGGTATTTAATGAAGCAAACCACCAAGCAAGGCCAATTGATTTTGGCTCTTCTTTCAGACGAAAACTGGCAGAAAGTCACTTACAAATTTTCTTCTAATGTAACCACCCAGAGAGGTTGGCTACAACTGCTTCGCCACTCCAGAGGTTTCACTTTCTGTCCAAAGGGACATTCATTTCTCTGATTCATTTGCATCATAAATTATAAACCGAATCCTCCAGCAGCAAGAAAAGATCCCTTTAGCTCCTTAACTAGGACTCCTCAATAAACTTGCTGTCCTCTAGGAAGTCCTTTAGTTCCCTAGTTTAGTTTTCCTTTAGTTTAACTTGAGCCAAGAGCAAATGTCACGACAGGTTTGCTTGTTTGACCTGGGATTTCATTTTGGTTTTGTGATCTTACAGGAACTATGGATTCTCCACACAGTGCTGAGAAAATGTTTGTGAACCCCCAGGTTGGTCAGTATTATATTGTAGACCTAAAACATTAATAGACATAAATGTCTTAATAAAATATGAAAATAACCTGATAATATACTGTATATAAACACAAAATGTTTGGATTAATGAACAAAATTATCCAATAGTATCCCTATGTAAATAAGTGTGAACTGAGAAACTGGTGGCATCTTTTTGAGCAACAATGACTTCAACTAAATGTTTTCTGTTAACAGTTTATCAGTTTTCCACATTGACCTACGAATTTTGGCCCATTCGTCCTTCCAGCTGGTAATATTTTTGAGTTTTCATGCATGAACTGTTTATTTTACATACTACCATAACATTTCAATAGGGTTTATGTCTGGATTTTAACTTGGCCAATCAAAAATGTAAATTTCTTCTTCAGCCTTTCTGTTGTGGATCTGCTTGTACAGTATGTTTAGGATCATTGTCTTTATGTATGACTCACTTTCTGCTCAGCTTCAGTTGAAAAATGGATGGCCTCACTCCTGAACATACTGATAGAACATCAAATTTATTGTTCTGTGGGTCATGGCAGGCCTTCTGGGTCCTGAGGCAGCAAATCTGCCCCCAAATAGCCCTGCTACCATGCTTGGCGGTTGGGATGAGATTCTTCTGTTTTAAAGCAGTTTTTGGTTTTTGCCACACAAAAAGTTTGTCACGTGGTGAAAAAGTTCGACCTTTGACTCATCATCCAGGTGGTCCTTGGCAAACCTGACATGGGCAGCAATGTTTTATTTTAAAGAGCAATGGTTTCTTCCTGGCTGTCCTCCAATGAAACCATTTCAGCCCAGTCTTTTCCTGAAGGCTTAGGCTTGAACACTGGCTTCAGCTACAGTGAGAGAGGCCTGCACATCCTCATACATTACCCTGTGGTTCTTTGCCACATGATTTTCCAGGTTGCTCTTGGGGACATCTTGGCAGAACGACCTGTCTTAGAAAAGTCACCATGGTCTTGAATATTTTCTATTTAAATACTGTGTAAATGGTAAATGTTTAAAACAGAGCCTCAAATGTTTAGGAATGATTTTGCAACCCTCACCAGATGGATGAGTATCAACAATTTGTCTACGTCCTCTGAAGTCTCTTTTAATTGTGACAGGATATCTTGTGCTGAAGTATTAAACTACTAAACACAGAATGTTTCAGAGCATTTTCTAGGACAGGAATGCTGAAAAACTGTCCTTGTTGAATTGTTATCCAATTATTTAATTACATTATTCTAATTACCCCCTTACTTGCCCTAAGCAAACTTTGGGTACACTTATTCATTTCTACTGCATGCGCCATTATATCACCAAACAAATTTGACATGGTAAATAAATAAACCCTTTAGTTTAAGAAAAGACTAGTTTCAATTCAAAAATCATATCCTGGTAAGAAATTGTAATTTTCATAATTACAGTTACTGAATGTTTGAGGTTTGCAAAAAAATTTTTGGCCTAGGATGTACATCAAAGTTTTCCAAAAGACATCTGCCTATCAAGTCTTGTTCTGTACAGTAGTATTATTGGCTATAGTGTCCCACTTCAGAAATCCAGTGCAAAGCAAGTGTGAGGTCATCAACTGCACCATGTCCTTGTGAACGTATGGGTATTCCTATTGACCAATTTTGATGTTCAATTATTTGAAGTTCTTCAGTGCATTATTGCCCTGTGAAGCGAAATTTTAAAATGATAGAAGGCTGTGTTATCAGCAAGACAAAAATGTTAAATTGCATTTGGCCAATGTTGTGTATTCTTTTCAAAGAGACTAGCGCTCTTTCAGATGCCCCTGGTTGAGACCTCTGATCAAGAAGTAAAATGAGCAAAATAGCCTCTGACTATCTGTACCCTTTGTTTTTTTTTTTTCAATTCCTGGACACATATTCATTTCTTCAAATCTCTGTAAGACTGATATTTTCTGCAAAGTGCTTTTTCAAACTTTCATTTATGCAGTCTTTTATCACCTTTTCATCTAAACATTAAATACCTTCTATCTGAAGCAGTTTTACAGGTTAAAATGTACTGTAATTGGAATTTTAAAAAATAGGCTTATATTGACTATTTGCTTCTGTGTTCAGAAAGACTATTTTGTGATATGGTCAAAATAATGCTGTCATTAAATGTACTAAGATGATGAAGCAATAATATGTATAAAACAAGAAACAGCTTATAAAGGACAAAACTAATTTATTACATTTTTACATTTAATGTTAATTTTATACAGTCTCCATCTCAATCTCACACTTTATCACATTGAGAATGTATTGAACTCAACCTTTATTTCTAGATGATGGTGACAGGCACACAACTGGGAATAACACATGTGATTTAAATTACATCATTGTTATAGACAACAGTCCAAAACAGACATATTTGAATGACTTTCACACTATGCTCTGTTGATTATTAGAGAATACATTTCATTTTGTGCTCTACTTAATGTGTATACTAAACAGAAATGTAGTTATAGGTTTGATAGTCTTTATTTATGACGAAGAGACTTTGCAAGCTGGGGAAAGTGTCATTATCCAGACAACATTTCTTAAACAGTAATGGACATAAACTATGTTTCTGCAGTGGAATGTAGTTATTCTGTGAAACATCTGCATCATATATATACAGTACGTACTTGTTTCTAACTGTGGGGCCGAGATGTGTGGCATGAGATGACCTCACACCAAGAACCTTAGTGGCTATCTGCAGAAATATCCAATAGGTGTGAAAAATTTCCACTTAGCCACAAACATTAGCCACTAAGGCCCATAGAATTTGTCATGAACTTTATGTGTGAACATTGAACTTTACAATGTGTTCAAATTCATTGTGACAGGTAATTCAAGCTTTGGCTATGACACTGTGTCACTGTGTCACAGGAACTGTGGCTGTTCCCACTGATGATAACAGAAACTAACATTTGAACTGGCTCTTTTATTACACAGATCTCCTTCAAAATGTGTTTTGAAAAAAATGTGTAATTTTGAAGCCTGTGAACCACCCCATCCTTCTGAAGCCAAGAAGACAAAAATACACCTTTGGTTTTTTTCTAGAACTAGTCATACACATTATAGGAAGGATTAATAGGCTTCCAGAGGGAATCTTCAAGTCCTTTCCACTGAGAATCCAGTGCCAAGAATTAACTGCTGACTAAAGTGAACACAATGTGTCCAAAACAAATTAAAAATACTACTTGTACCTTAAAACTAATTTTAAATTCCACCCAGCAACAGTTTCCCCTGGTAATAAGAACAATATAATTTAGCCCCCCTTCTAGGATCTATGAGGTAAAAATCATTTGGATGCAAGTATCAAAAAAGTAATTATTTTTTTATGTATTGTGTAATACAAATCACCAGAGCTTCAGCAGAATGTAAGATCACATGTACAGCACAAGAATATCCAGCAGTTAGTCTGTGGTAATCCATTGGTAAGGCAGGGCACCCATTATTCACCAACATCTGCACAGCTCACAGTGTCTCCTTGTGTAGGCACCACACCAGTGTCTGGCCTACTCCAGTCATGCTCACCACACGATAGCCGATCTTCTCCAGTTTGTCCAGAACCATTCGTGGTGGATCGTCTACATGGTATTCAGAACTGCAGCAGAAAGTAAAGATTTCAATCGGCAACAACGCACAATGGCATTCAGCTATATTTACCATCTTGGTACCATGTTGTGCTGCTACTGTATGTCAGTAGGGACACTCCATTTGAAATCAGTCAGGTCAAGTGAAGGCATGTGTCTATGAGGCTCACTTTTTAATGTGCTCTTCTGCTTTGTAGCTACTGTTCCAGGGCAGTTTTATATTTTGCAAAGTAACAAGTAAAGATTTATTCCTTGCTGTGAAGAGAAGAAAAGAAACATAACCTCATGCATTCTAGAAGGAAGACTAAATTACATTGCTTATTATCAGGGGACAAAACTGAAGAAGGTTCCACAGTGTTTCTTTTCTTCTCTTTTCAGCATGGAATAAACCTTTACTTGTTCCTTTGCAGCCTACGCATGCTGGCACAGCTACCAACTTGAACTACTTTTCTTATACGTCACTTATCTCCTCAGGACTCAATATGTGTTCCGCTAGTTGCTGTGGTTGGCTTCAGCGATGTCAGCACATATTCCTAAATCTACACTGATTTGATCAGAATGGTTAGGGACTGGAAATGATCCTGAAGGTCCCTTTGTGTGCAGGAAGTTCACCTCTACATCATGCTGCAACCGACATTGCCAAACCAATGCACCTGTCCCTTGCCTTACAATATGCTGAGGATAATTTTTGGGGGTTTCAGATAAATTGATAAATTCAGATAAATTGTCCATTTTCTACCAGAGTACCAGAGATCTGAGCTCCTTTATATAATGGGCATATACTGAATACAATATCCTCAGTGGAGGACACCTGTATTAATTTGTGAAGACCACTTTAAGTGCATCTAACATTACATCACCTCCTAAGTCTGGGACCTATCAACTTTACTGGTTTGCTTCCAAAATGCAAGCTGGACTCGAAATCTGGTAATGCTTTTATTTTTGTGAGTAAGGTTTTTTTTCCCTTTGTCTGCTCAAAGATCATTCGATTGTCCCTCAGAGTGATATATATATATATTTTTTACTGTGTTAAGAGTGACAACAAACAGACCACAGTGGAAAACAGAAGTGAACTGTATAATGTTCTTTCTGATAAGACACTGATAAAACATACAGTCTGACAAAACCAATCACACTGTGACAGACAGGATATTAACTCCTCTGTAGTTTAGCCCAAGATTAAAACTGGAGATTTTAGTGTCTTTTCCACAGTAATTCTGAAAGGTGTTTTTGAAAGATAACACTAAATGCCAAAGGAATATGATGCAAAGCCCACACTGTTAAAGAAAGAGGCCTTTCAGAAAAACACAAAGGGATTAAATACTACCTACTCACACAAAACTATGAAATGCAAACTAATGATTAGTTCTCAGAATTTTTTGACTTACTGTACATCTCATAATAAAAAAACAATTTTAGAATATAAGCTTAAAAAATGTCTCCCAATTATTTTCCTAGTACTTCAGTTAACAAGAATCATTTTATTATTCTGTCCAAATCTCCCATTGGCCCTTACCAATCATGGCCTCCTAATAATCCCCATCTATGAATTGGCTTCATTACTCTGCTCTCCTCCCCACTGATAGCTGATGTGTGGTGAGCGTTCTGGCGCACTATGGCTGCCGTCGCATCATCCAGGTGGATGCTGCACATTAGTGGTGGTGGAGGGGAGTCCCCATTACCTGTAAAGTGCTTTGAGTGGAGTGTCCAGAAAAGCGCTATATAAGTGTAAGCAATTATTATAATTATTATTATTATTATTATATATTTTTCTAATAAGAAAAAAACTTCACATCATGATAACAGGACTACCAATGCAAGGAATGCTAGATGCAGATGTTCCCACAAATCATTTTATTTACCAGCTCTGGCTGGCTGGTTACACTATTACATAATGCAATTAGGAGCTGATGTGTCTCTGGTTTTATTTCAAAGCTTCTTGTTTTTTTAATCTACAGTACTTACCAGACGTCAATATTTCCCCTTAATCTGGTGTTATAGAAGTCTTTGAAACAAACAAACAAACAAACAAACAAACTGACTAAAATAATAATTACCTTCAAATGGTTAAAGCACTAAAATGATTTAATATTTTATATCACTGGCTGATGAGTGTAATTTTGTTATGCAACAAGACATAACAGAAAATGTTTACTGGCATTACACAATTTTATCATTAGATGTGCTCTCCCCACCACACCCCACTCATATTGATGGGTTAAGCAATCAGTTTATGTTTGAGTTTCAAAGTTTTTAATAATAACTGATCGCTGAGATATATAATTGGACAATGATGAAACATGGCGGTGAAAAAGGTTAACTAATTTTTAAAAAGGTAATATGCACACATACACCCATCATGAATGATATGTAAAAAAAGTGTATTCACCTTTGAATTTAAGTGCACTAGTTAAAGTAAATACTAAGGTAGATTCAGAACATTTGTATTCACCACACTGCTAATAAAAACAATAGTTACTTTGAGCCAAAAATTACATTAAATGAATTAAACTAATAATCAGACTTCTCCTTTAATGTTCATTTAAATTAAAATGCATCATTTCTCAATCAGGGAATACATAATTATGTCCAGCCTGATGCCTCTCTCACACATAGGATAAGCTGCTTGAGAGGCCACTTCTTAACATTAAATTTTGCACTTATCAAGAGAATGTGGTCAGTATATTTCTCTGTTCATCTAGCTGAGTACGGACAATTAATCAGCTCTACCCTATGTAGGATTTCTATGAAAGGTGTGTTGATGTTTTACAGACATAACTGATGTTTAATACCAGAAGACACTCTCCCTCAGTTCACTTCAAAACATCTTCAAAAAAGAGGCCAAAATATAAATGTTTTTATTTCATACTATATAATGCTTTATGTTTTTACATAATCTACCCATAATCTAATATTCTTACTAATTTGTCAGTTTTGTCCTCTCATATAGTTATGTTCCTGAACTGACAGTCCAATTAAGCTGGCAATTTCTACCATACCTCTGGTCTTTAAAGCCCTGCAGTCAAATTGCTTGTACAAAATCCTTATAATGATTTAGACCTATGTCATAAGCATATGTCATAAGCATATTTCATTTGTATAAGCAGAGTTTTGATTAATGGACTGAGTATTTACCACTCCAATCATGTAATCTTAGCATTTTTAAAGCAAAATAATATCACTCACAAGTTGTTGCCCAACATTGTTGTTTTCCTGGCTCCTAAGTAATTCATAAGGGTTGGGTCTGAGTATTCATCCCCAACCATAGTAGGACCAGTTTCCTGAAACACAAGAGAAACAGTCAGGAAAGACACATATCATTTTAAAATCAATACTACATCTACTGCTTTGTTATGCAACTATTATACACCCATATGAGAGAGACAGCAGTTTTATTGCTGGCTAACAGAAAACAACAACAACAACAACATCAACAATATGAGATATATCATATGTTCTACACTTAACCTAAAACTTGAATAAGTTCTTAATTGAAGACGTATTTGTTCCCGTAACATCCCTCAGCTACTGTATATTTCACGCGATAAACAGATTCACGACCAAAGACGCTTTTCCTGGAGTTCTAGCTCGAGATAATTCATCTCCTTTGCAAAGTGTAAATCAATAGTAGAAGTAACAGCATCTGTTTTTGTACAGTATCTTACAAGATTCAAAATATTTTTTCAAGTTAGTTATTTTCACACAACAATATAAATATATTTTGATGCATACAGCTCATTTTATACTGTAGTTTATACTATAGATACAGTATATTATATCTAATGCTAATAGTTTAAGAAGTCTAAACATAAATACGTTTGAAAACGGTTCTACAGTATATAACATTTAACGCTAATAAAACTAACTGCAACCATCAACATTTCACAAGATAATGTATCAACATTTACACACTTCGCCTATTTGTGAATTCCAGAGAATTCGCGGGCAAGAAGCGGAAGAATGAACTCAATGGTAAATTACAGTATTGGAATCGCAAACCAAACACGGGCTTTTTTGTAAACCTTAAAATGTCTGTTTTACATTTACAAAACGGCCCCGCCCCCCCAACGAGATTTACAGACAACACATTCAATTTAGATCCAACACAGAATACACTGGATAAACCCTTTCTATTACAAAACGTCTAACAATTTGCAGTACAAACTATAACACTTTACGCAATATTTGCTCAGTGCATTCCGCTTTCCACACTATATTTTTTTTCATCCACACCGGAATATCACAAAGGTGAGTCTATAGGACACAGAATTCATTTTAAAGATTCTTTCGGTACCACTGGATTTTAAGGATTGTTGTATGTTTTGATAAAGTTACCAGCATTTCTTAGCACCTAACAAACATTGGGGGCGGGGAAGAAGACATTATCGTTTTTAAGTCTCGTTAGCAAAGGCTTATCCAGACTGAAATGGTAATCACGGTGCGACGCTAAACTCAAGCTAGTTCTCAGAGCAACCGATGCATGTTACAAACCAGTCGAATCTGTGTGCTGATGAGCACGTAAGGCATCCTCGGACTTGGCGTTCTACCCCCTTTCGCAGTTGTCTCCAAATCGTCCCCTGAGGATTATTTGGCGAGTGCAGCTCTAACCGGTTAATGAAGCAAGCAGCTCTCTTCCACAACAGCTTTCCTACACTGACAGCTCAGAGCAGAATGCGGAAACACCCATCGCAACGGACCAATCATATGCCGACAAAAACACTTCTGTGCCAACGGCAATAAATTTGTATGAAGAAAGCAAAGCATTTTTTTCTTCCAAGCAGACTAAGTCCTTAGATGTGTAATGGAGAGTTGTACTCTCCATTAAGTCCAGCACACTGAAATTCCAATAAATACTTTTGCATGAATACATATTAATAATAAAACCACCATATATTATACTTTCTATTTATTATACGGCTAATATAGTGTTTTGCAAAAGTCTTCAGCCCCTGCATCGTCTTCACATTTTGTTGCCTTTGAGCTTGCAGTCGTGACACTTAGAAGTAGAAATTAATGTCTGTTACGTACTGTACATAACCTGCTCCTCATATTGAGCAAAAGTCAAAATGAAAAAAAAAAAATAACGTCCAAGATAAATTCTCAGATCCCACTGTAGTTTGCATCAGTAGGTACGTGATACTGCGAACAAAGGATTTGTGGTCAGACAAGACACAATTAGTACTTTTTGGTGTATTAAATCGTCAAAAGCCAGCAGAGCACATCATCACCACCATGCCTATGGGGAAGGTTAACCTCAGTAGTGACTTCAAAGCTTATTAGGATTGAAGGAAAAGTATGGATGGGCAAAGTACAGGTACAGTATATGTTAGAGGAAAATCTGCTTCAGTCCTAAAACTAGGACAAAAATGGACCTTTCAGCAGAATGATCCAAAGTACAAGCTCAAAGCTACTTTGCAGTGGCTTATGATTATGAAAGTGAATGTTCTCGAGTGACACAGTCAAAGTCCAGGTTCGAATTGTAGTGAGAATCTGTTAAGAGACTTGAAAAATACTGTCCATTAAGTGGTCCCCAAACAACTTGAGAACCCGAGCAAACCTGTCAAGACAAATGGACAAAAATTGTACTAAGCCGTTTTGAAAAGTTGATAGAGACTTACCCAAAAAGACTCAAGGATGTAAGACAGTATTATATTGAAAAGAACGTGTATGACTCATTTTGTAATTTCACCAAATGGGATACCATAGGAATGGTCTGAATAATTTTGCAGTGCTCTGTAATATATATATATATGCTGTACTGTATATACTGTAGATTGATCAAACACAAGCATTTATGTACCATTGGAACAGAGAAAAACAAGTGGCAATAAAATTCCACAGCACATATCTATATATCAATATAGCAGGGGGGTCCATCAGAAATGTAGCTACTCAGACAAGCTTGTTTATTTTTCAGACAGGAAAACAGATGAAAGAGTTATCTCAAGAATTTTCAGAAAATGTTGCAATCAGACCCGGTCTTCCCTGAGTGCACGGCAGTTGGATGATTTGCCACCTCTTATGGTTTTCCTGTGTTCGGCTCAGGTTTCCCTTTTAATCCTGTGGTTTGGAAAAGTCACATAATATCCACTGTGGTTTTATTCTCAAACACGGACATAGAACAATGGTGAATTTTCCTAAAGGGGCACATGTTGAGGATTTCTTACCGCGCTCTAATTTTGTCTTTCAACTGCGAAAACTTGAACTATCCTTCAAAAATGTAATTACTTAAGGCTGTCAATATGTATAACCTCAAATCCTGGTGTCCCATAATACTTTTCAGTTTAATTGAGAAACATGATTCTATGGTGTCCCTTTACTGAAATCCTCTGGTAATACTTCATTTTTGTCCAAAGGCAGACTTGTCTGTTTTAATTCCCAACAAAAATGGATGTTTTGAAAGACTAGAGTTCAGTTCCAAGAAGTGGTCTTAGTTTTTCTATAATCCCTCAGGTTTTGAGAGTGCTTTAAGGGTATTCCCCACATATAATCTATCTTTCTATGCCCTTTGTTGTGTACTTGTAATTATATTTCTTGATGTCTTCTTTTACATGAGTATGTTCCCATGATAAAAAAATTCAAACAAAAATACAGTAAAGCCTCAAAAGATGTCAAGAGATCTTATATGTATGAGTTCTGTCTTTACTTTTAATCATAGGAGAGCTGATTCTTCTCAATCAATCAGTCAGTCAATCAATCAATGTGTATTTGTTTTAAGTTGGAAGAAGTGCTTTGCTTTGCTGAGGTTGTTTCATTTGTAGGGCAAGAGAAAAATAACATGCTCTGATTTTAATCAAAATATATTACTCGCCATTTGGAGAACATTTGCTTTTATCTGTTAAAAATGTGCTGCACTATGAAAAGGGATGATGTTACAATAATTATGAATCACCAATACATAATCTAATAAATTTAATAAATGGTATGTAATAAATATTTCAGTTGGGTATCCATCCACATTTGTTTTACACAAGTTCTAATTTTGAAATACTTTAATTGAGTTAAAAATAGAATGGTTAAGTCAAAGAAGACTTATGTGGATTATGCACACAGTAAAATGAAAAGATCTGATCTGAAAAGGGAAACTCATAAAAATGCCAAGTGGAGTAGACAGGCATTGCGCAAGCTTTGACAATGAAAATATGAAGGTGAAAATAAAAGCCTTTCGATTAATATCACCTTCATGTCCTTTTCCCTGAAAACGGCAACACTGAGATACTGTCTTTAATATCCTCAGAGCTCTTTGTCATTTGAGGCTCATAAACAATAAAAAATCTTTCGATTTTGAAAATAACTGTCAATATACAACAGAAATATCTTCTCCATGTATCTTTCGAAGGCTCAGTGGAAAAAGAATAATGACTAGACTCAAATGAGTAAGCAGTTTTCAATGTTTATACATTTAAAAAAACATATTTTGAGAAAATTAATAAAATTTCTGAAAAGGCTTGGGAGAGTAATTCTCAGCAGATATTGTATGTACTATTCCATTGTAACAGCATTGTGATTTTTTGTAAATTGCTTTGGGGTGATGCTCACCAGGAGAGAGCAGCTTACACAAAGGCTTCACAGCCAAAACGTTGTGTTTTCTCTCATCTCTTTTTAGCATGTAATAAACCTATTACTTGTTCCTTAAAAGAGTAAATTACAACAATTTGAATTATGTAATAAATTCGGAAATTAAAATGGTTTATAATGTTCCTCAGACGGGTCAAGTACATCAATTTAAGAAATTAAACACATAACGTGAAAAATGTACTGTATAACATACAGTATTAGCATTTTATTGTTCTTTTTTTACCTTTCAAACGTTCTATTTACTACTATAAATAATTCAGCTTTGCTATAATATGATTTGGATTATTAGTACATTTTAAATGATTTAATTTACTCTTGCAACCAAATGAGAGCTGCGGTCTGAATGGCAATCTCTCGTTTGCGACCTTTGTTGACCTGTATGTTCGTCACCCTGTGTCCGTAATGGTTACTGTCACTTTAACCTTACGGTGGGGGCGAGGTATAAAAACGTATAGCTTTTGGTTGCAAGACGGAAGAGTTTTGGTGTAACACTATAGTTTTTTCCCCCCGGCATGCTAAAAAACGAAACAGAAATAGTGAGCACATATACTAAATAGAAACTGATATTATCATATCAGCTAATAAAACGTTAAATAATAATCTTTACTTAGACAAAAACGAAGAAAAACGTGCGATTCTGGTCCTACGTTTTCAAGAGGCTTTCTTTCTAGTGTAAGTAAACGTGATGACAGCGGCTGTAGTGTAGTACAACGCAGACAACCGGCTTGAGTGGAGAAAGCGTGGTGTATTCGTGCAATTCAAGGAGAAACACTGAAACTGCCATATTTTAAAGCGCGTTTAGAAAATAAAAGCACGGACACTTTCTAAATAAATTACATGGGGCTTCATTCATATGTTTTTTTATTTTAAAACTTTTATTTTACAAAATAATATATTTCTAGTTATTCCTAAACGACACTCTTAACTTAATATTTTTGTTTTCCGATATATTTTAGTATTGCATCTAGTGGAGAGCAAACGTTAATTTGGGACCTCTCATGAATTAGAACCATTTGGTGTACTTTTCTATTATATACAGTATATAAGACTTCTTTCTGTAATGGGCAAACTAGGAACAAATACCTTGGTTGTACTGAGCTTGGGAGCTACCGCAGGAGCTGGATTGATTATTTATTTTATATGCAACGAGAGGAAAAAAAGGAAGGTACGAAAGCTAAGACTGGAAAACAACTCAACACACGCGTTGCACAGGACGGATGGGCCGACTGGAGTTCACAGCACTACACAAGCCCTGGATATCACAGGTAAATCGCACGCAGAATATATTTCAGTTAGCTGCAAACATAAAGGAAACGCTTGAGCAAATGAGTGTTCTGTATATTGAAAGCAGCTTTAGACAGGTATGGTTCCTGAGTTAATTAAGCAATTAACACCCTAACTTCGTGCTTAGGGTCAGTAGCTTTGAGAGAGGGGTGACTGTTGGGGAATGTTTGGCAGGAGCTTCAGTGATAAAGACTGTGAAACGTGCTGATGTTTCACGAGGAACAGTGGCTAAAGTGGTGTTGGCATGGCCGTCTAATGGAAAGACATCATCGCCTAGAGGCAACTGTGGACGAAAGCGCACACTCCCTGCCTGTGATATCCATGCATTGGTTCAGGATAGATGAGCAAAACAGACCAACAATTCTGAATCAGCTGCCTGCAAATGTCAATCTAAGGCTGTTTCATTAAGTACAGTCTGTCAACCTCAGAGAGAGGGATACCATGGTTGGGTTGCAGTGTTTAAATCTTGTATTATAGCTAGAAATGTACTTTTGCAAGTAAAGTGGTGTAAGAACACTAGTAGTGGTCTATTGAGCAGTGGAAAAAAGTCATATGGTCAAATGAGTCACCCTTTGCCCTGTTCTCAACAAGCGGATAAGTACCTGTGTGATGCTTGCCAAGTGAAGCCTATAGGCTCGAGTGCTTGTTTCTTATGGTGCATTGACTGCTTACATGGCAAAGCCATTCTGAGTGATCACGATTGTCATCCTGATGGGAGTGGAATCTTCCAGGATGACAGTGCCCCCCTGCACAGGGCACGAGTGGTGACTGAATGGTTTGATGAGCATGGAAACGATTTAAACCATATCTCATGGCCGTCCCAGTCAGGAGGTCTCAACCCAATGGCACACTCATAGGAGATTCTGGAGTGGTGTCTGAGACCGCGTTTTCTACCACCATCAACAAAACCTCAGATGATGATGAAGTTTTTTAATGGAAGAATGTTGTCACATCCCTACAACAGAACGCTTGTAGAATCTATGCCAAGGCACATTGAAGCTGTTCTGGTGGCCTATGATAGCACACTATCCTAATAACACGTTGTAGTGGTGTTTCCTTTATTTTGGCAGGCTTTACAGTATTGTGAAATGTCATCCTTGACTCCCACAGATTCTTTCCCTCTTTCTCCACACTGGCCTTATACCTTTTGCTAAATTTCATGCTATTATGTTTTTGTAAACATAATATGTGTTTGCAGTCATTCTCTTGCCTTTTGCCTTCTCTGTTTTAAGTGGTGTATTGATGCTTCTGTGTTTTCGAAGGAACAAGTACATCAGTTTAAGAAATTAAACTATTAATTATTAATTAATTAAGCCATGAAACTGTCATAGGCTGATCATAGTTTTAGCAGTTATTGCCATCAAGCCTACTTTGATTGAAAAGTTGAATAGTGCTGTATCAGAAACTTGGATTGAACTCTATCTTAATCAATCTGCCCATGTACAGGGTCTTCACTTGGAACACTGTCTTTGGAGCCAGACCGGGGTGTGTTGCCTGAACAGCAGGGGGAGCTGTGGAGCCGGCTGGACGCAGTGCTCCACTGTGTGGCTGAGCTGCGGGCTGAAGTGGCTGACCTGAGGAACGGTCTGCAGGGGATCGCTGACCAGATTGTCCAGGATGTGAAGTGAGGAGAGAAATGCTTGTATGAATGGAATGGTAACTGGCATGAATGCCTTCTGAGGAAGCAGAAGCACAGAAATGAAGGAATGAGCAATGGGTCTTCTTTCCTGCACAATGTATTTTTTTTACTTAATCCTAGTGTTTAACCAGAAAGGTCAATTTAGACAATTTCTCCTTTTAAAATGATCAATTTTAGGCTTATACAGCATTAGTATAGAAAACATAGCAGTGAAAGAAAGAAGAGAGCAATCAGTAAAATGTAAAAGGCATAACATAACAGGATATGGATTTATTAGTCAGTATCAGGCAGAAATGATTAAACTAAAAGAACCCTAGAATACAAAGGCAGATGCCCTCAGCTTACTCTGTAAATTATTCCCTTCATTAGGAATGACATATGGCAAATTGAAATAAGTTTAAAAATTATATTGTTCTTCTTGGATAGTTAAATTTGTTGAATGTACTACATTTTAAATTGAAAGATGTAACTGAGAACTGCAATAAATTAGAGAGGTGTTTTCCCAATTTTGAGTCTGTAAATTTGCTTATGAGGTGTCTAAGTGTGCTTAAATGGCATAATCAGTTGAAAAGTAAAGATCGCCTATTGCCTGAACCATATTAATATAAATGGCGAAAGCAGTAGGGCTCAAAATAGAAACTTGCAGGACTCAGTTTGTAACTGGATGTGGTTGTGAATTATATCTGTCGGGTTTTACACATTGTTTATGGTTTTGGAAATAGTTGCGACACCATACAAGTGAGACTGTATCAAGACAGATATTACGCAACCTTTTTGAAATTATTGAGTGATCCACAGTATTGAGAGCAATAGATTAATGCATGAAGATCAATAACACAGTATGTGAAAGAATTTGAAGCCTCCTTATGTCTCTGTTTCACTTTGTTCTGCAGATTCAGTGTGGAGGAGAGTCAGAAGGCAGCACGCAAACGGAGAATCTTCCTGCCTAGGGAGCGCACCGACTCTATGAGCTCCAGCTCCATCTACTTTTCAGCTAGTGCAGGCCCAGCCAGTGCATACGATGGGGAAAGTGAGGGAGGGTAGGTTTCACAGGTCAAAAGTCTCTGAAATCGCCTGTATTGCATGCATCTCAGAGTTCTCGTGTGGTAACCCGTGTGGATCCCTGAACAGTCAAAACATCATTTTGGAAAGCATTTCGAACAGTAATTGAAACTGCGCCGAAAATGAGATTAAGATGTGTGCACACCTCAGGATTGAGAATGCTGTTTTCTAAAAGTTTAAGTTTGAGGAAAGATGATATCTTGCAGAAAACGGAGTTAAAGTGGTGGTAGCAAGTTATGGTGGAAGCAGCATATGGACAATCACAATTATTTATCGTTGGAGATATGAAGGATATGTCCATCTTTAAATGATCCTCCACATTCATGCAAACATAAATTGCAAGTACCATATTGCAAGTACTGTGAGTAGAAACGTCATGGATAAGTCACGTGACCTGCATTCCTTCTTGCACACTTGAAAAGGTTGTTGGCCTTGATAAAGTGGGGGGAAAAAAAAAACAGGCAAAGCGACAAGTCGCTGTTGATTGAAAGACGGGTTCCCATGGAGCTTCTTTTTCAAGAATTTGTCTCTGCAGATTTGAAGAGTACCGATCCAGGAAGGAAAACAGGAAACCGAAGGGGCACCGAGCTGAAAGCAGAAAACAAATTAAGAATCCCTCCTGCCAAAACACACTTTCAGAAGCTCTTTCTTGAGCCGCCCCCACCTTCCGGTAGCCCCTGTGTGAATTCCTGTTACAGCTCCAGCGCTCCATCTTATTAGCGTCCAAATGCACTTTCACTCTTACCTGGGCTCCCGCTGGGACTGACCTGGGTGCTTCCCTGCGGTGGTGGAGAGGAAGCACTGGGGTGGCAGGCAGGGAGGCTGTGCAGCTCTGCCCATCCTTGGCACAAGGACGCGCCCTGCCTGCGCAGGCCTTGTTGGCTTTCTTGTTTCGGCATCCGATGTTTTAGCCGTGCCCTCATCAGGGATGCTTCACGTTAGAAGTGTTAAAAACTTCCCTACTTCCTGACTTTGAGGAAAAGAAGCAGAACAATGATGGGAAAGTGGTTATTTTCCCTGGAACCTCTTGAGTGAGGCTTCAGGGTCACCCCCTTCCGAAACAGTGCAGAGGAGCTATTTTTGTGAAGTGCGCTGTTTAATAGAGTACATGTGAGCCAAAAAAAGCTTTGGGTGTTATATAACGCTTGTATTATGTTTTTTTTGTAACAAAGGTGGAAAAAAAACCTTAGAAAATTCAGGTCAGTTAGCTAAAGGTGGCACAGATCCAACCGCATCAGGAGATCTCTTCAGAAAATTGCAGGGCACTTAGGAGCCATTTAGCCTGTCATTGTTTTTATTCTTTTAACTACGCTTTTATCAGAAAGGGAAAACATGGGTGTCTTCTTCTTTTGAAGTATTTTTTTCCCATCACTCAACACATCAAAGACATGATGATTATAATTAGGAAATGTCAAAGAAGCACAACCACCCAAAGGTGTGCATGATAACCTTTACAATCCCAAACTTTCTTTTTTAATTTTTTTGCTTTCTGGCTCATGTCTTGTCAGGTCATTTATTTTTATACTTTAGACAAATGTTGATAAAGTTAGATACATTTGTCAATTTAATTGGTGCTTGGAAATATTTTGCTAAAATGATGACAACAAAAAAAAATATCTTTCTTGTGGTAATGTAATGTACTGTAATCTAAGTCCTGCATTCATGCCAAAATTAAGTAAGGAAATCTTATCCACCTTATCCAATTTGGGGTCGTGGAGGAGCTGGAGCCTATCCTGGCAAGCAGCAGTCCATCCCAGGGCTCTGTTATCATTCACATATTCAAAATGTTTTCATGAACAGTAAAGGTTTCTCTTTTCTTGACTTCTCAGGTACACGACTGCTAACGCCGAGTCCGATTACAATGGAGAAACGGACAAGGACACGGATGAGGAAGATGAGAGTTGCGCAACGGTGAGGACGCTTCGACGAGACTCGCTCTGCCTGGATGACGATGAGCCTTCCTCCCAGCTTGACTTCGAACTGCCCAGTGATGAGCTATCCCTCCTGCTGGCGCAGAGTGACAGGCTGCACTCTGGAGCCAAGGAGGAGAAGGCTGAAGGTTTTCACCTGCTGCTCACAAACAAGCCCCTGGTAGGTGCAAACTAGAGTGACAACAGGTATAACAGCAAGAAATGTACAGAAGTGAATTGAGTTTTGGCCATGAAGATAAACTGACTCCTGGCATATTTAAAACAACTGCTTTAAGTACTAGACATCAGTTCATACATCCATTTTCTATCCACTTTATCCAGTAGAGGCTCGCGGGGGAGCCAGAGCCTAAGATGGACACCAGTCAACCACAGGGCACACACAGATGCAAATACAGACATACTCACATGAAGTCCAGTTTTCCCAGAAGCCAAATAACCTACCAGCATGTCTTTGGACTGTGGGAGGAAACCGGAGTAACCAGAGGAAACCCACATGAACACGGGGAGAACATACAAACTCCATGCAGAAAGGACCTCAGGTCCTGAATTGATCGCAGAGCTCCCTGTGCTGGGCAGCAGCAATGCTGGGACTAGAAATAAAATGCACAATTCCAAAAACAAAGCACACAATACATTTGAAAAGGTGCCATATGTACCTTTGTGGAAATGATACAGGCTGTAAGTCATGATACATACTAGCTTCAAATGCAAACATCAGATTTTCTGTTGGCAGATCATTTAAAATACGTTATTAGCATAGTTACACGAATGCAGCTGTTAGAAATTGCTATAATGTGTTCAAGTACTGTTACTGCTCTAGAATCAGACTATGGGTTATTTTGTCCTCCAGTGGTAGACATGACAGCCATAAGTTTCCTAATTATTTTACAGATGTAATCTACTTTTTATATTTTTTATGCATAAAAAGGACTAATTCATTTGTATCCTATTTACATGTTTTTTGTGTGCAGCACGTCATGGAGCATGATTTCACAAAAGCTGCTGTTTAAAGTTACATTTGATAAACTATGAAGATTAAATGTAGTTGCTGTACCCTGCCTGATGTAGCTGGTCCCTAGCTACTGGGTACACTGAACCCTGGTCAACCATTCACACAGTTTCACTCCACAGATGTTTGGGTTTGGGTTTGGGTTAAGGGTTTGTTCTGGGCTAGTCCAGTCGTCTTTAGAATGCTGTTCTTATCTAACAAGACAATGTTGATAGTATTGATTGAGAAATAATGGAATGACTGTAAGCTACAGATAATGTATCAGTTTAACACCCGTTGAGTAATAATAAAGCTACCATGTTGTTGTCTGTACCCCCAAGAAAAGGCATGTTTTAACATAATAGAAGATTCTTGTTTTGGTTTAGAGAAAGCTGTCTGGACATCATTGGGCTTCTATCCACAGACCCTTTCAACCAATTATATTCTGCAGCAGAATCCATTGTGCTCATGTGATCTTGTAGGAGACAAACCAAACCTTTTAACCTCCAACTCAATACCTCAATGTGCGTAGTGTCAGGAAAACTTAAATTAACTCTACTTGACAAATCCAAATGGCCAAAAATCTTGCTTCCTCAACCATAGATGAAGATCCTTTGGCACGATATCTTTAGTAACCCTACACGGCAGGGTACAATCCCACAACTCCATGTGAAATTATGTTGAAGCTGCTCTTGTACCCCCAACCGTATGTGGAAGTAGATCAAAGCTGTGGATGTAGTTCAGACTTCAGCATCAATATTCAGTGTAGAGCATTATAAAGCTTTTTTCAGCTTAAGCCAAATCATTGATCCCGTCAAAGAAACGCCAGCTTTCTCCCTCTGTCAGAAATTCTGGCTCAAATTGGCATGGCTATATTCTTGCTCTAAAGTGTCGATATGTATCTGTAATCGTTACTTTGTACCCAAGCCATATAAACAAAGACTTTGTACTTCTAATGAGTGTTTTTTTTGTCCTGTCACACACAAAAGTTACTAGCTGTGGTACCTGGCTTTACCCAGGGAAGGAAATGAACAAGCTAGCCTGTTTCTGTGTGCCACATTTTCTGGGAGTTAGAATAACTACATAACCATAAATGTTAGACTTTGCACAAAAATGCATAAAACAATGCTGCCACGTTGACAGGCACAGATTCACAATTTAATTCTAAGACTCTTTTGTCATAATTCTGCACCTGTGTCCCAAATGTGGTGCTGATTAGGTAAACAATAACAATAGTAAGGCTACTAATGTAGATTATTTTAAAAAAAGCATTATTGGAATATACCTATGCTGCTATTTGATTGACATTCAAAATAGGATAAATTCAAATTTTGAATTGGGTCATATTTTATACAATGTGTACATGTGCTACAGGAATCCATAAAATATATGTTTTAAACCCTTCTGTCCTTCATCATCTAAGTGCCAGATTGGTACTAATTGGATGAGCAGTATTAGAATGGACACATGACAGACATACACATTGAGCTTTATATGTAAGATTGTTCAAATCTAACCTTTGTAATGTGATTGATAAGAAACAATTTAGAGTGAGACAAAACAACAAGTTTAACATTGGATCGAAATGTATATATATTTAAGTATATATAATGGCTGTTTTAAAAGCGAACGTTTGCTAATGGGTAGATAAAAGAACATTTATAGAATTTCCTAGTTTATAACATTCTTAGTTTGGCAGCATTACTGAGGTTACCATCAGGCAATTGTAACAAGACAACAGCAAGGGACTCAAAATGTTAAAAACATGTAATCGAAAGCTTTGAAGAGCTTTTATCTTAAATTAAAAATTCTTTGAAGGAAGCAATATTTCACACATCGAGAGGAAGGAAATGCCAAGACCCTGATACAAGCATGGCAGGGAACACTGTGCTATAATTGGATGAATTCTGCAGAATTGTTGAATTTTAGGAACATATCCTGTTAACCAGTAGTTAGTCGAAACAGCTGTTGCATAATATGAGCTAAAACTTCTGTGGCTTTCGTTTTACCCATTTTAACATTGTTCAAATATTTCCACTGTGGTACACTTCTGAAGTAGCACGTACACTTGAGCAGTTGCTGCACTTTGGTATTAACTCTTGTGGTCACAAAAGAGTAAGCATGGGCCTGGAACCAGTTAACAGTTAATTTTCTTTATGGGCAAGAAGGGATAAGCTCTACCAGTTTACAATAAAATATATTAAAAGGTAAAAACCCTAAAGATTATTTAGAATTTTGTTTTGGGGAAGTAACTTTGAGAACTGTATACAAATAGCACCTTAAAATCGGGCTGAGAGAATTACCAAATTCATGCAGAAGTGGCTTAAAATGTTTATTTCAGTTGCCTTCCCACTCATTTCTGCTTTACATTGGTAAAACACAGAAAATATAGCTCTACGTAACTTTCTTGCAGCTATATAGCTCTTTTCTATCCCAGAGCTCTAAACATATAGGTGAGGACCCACTTCTTCAACCACAGTAATGCATTTCTCCAGTGGGTGGGGCATGCCATTCATTATACTGTACAGCAGCAGTCTCACTGCAAAAAATCGAGAAATGAGAGAATACGTCATCGTTTGAATTAAAGGGACTCTTGATGTAGGCCAGGTAATTTAGGCTAGAAGGTGGTAACGGTGTTGCTGGGACAGGACCTAGTCAAGATCTGTTATTAGCTATAAGCAAGTTATCCTCTTAACTTTGGGTATACTATTCCCCCCTCAGTATGGCGATAGTAAAGAATTCCAATGGCGACTGGCACGTTCCTATAATGACATGTGTGAGATCACAGAAGACAAAGAAGAGAGGAAATCCTACGCTGAACAAGGTGATGTACTTCATTTTCTCCTTCCTTGGCCAGGGATTGAGAGACAACTTACCTAACATTTCAGTTTCTTCCAAACAGCAAGAGCCAGAAAGTTCAGTATAGCGTGTGATCTTCTATTTTGTCAAAAAGGGTTTGTGCTACACATCTTATTAAGGTTTTGTGAGCTTTTATCATTGATCAACAGATATTCAGGACTGTGAGTGGAGAAGTGGAAGCTTACAGTTTAATTAATTTAATTAACTAATGGGATTAGCTGCAGCCTGCAGCTCACAAGTGGTAGCCCACATAAGCTAAGCAGGGCTGAGCCTGGTCAGTACCTGGATGGGAGACCTCCTGGGAAGCTGTGGTTGCTGCTGGAAAAGGTGTTAGCGGGGCCAGTGGGGAGCACCCACTCTGTGGTCTGTGTGGGTCCTAATGCCCCAGTATAGTGACGGGGACACTAGACTGCAGTGGACTCTGTCTTTCGGATGAGACAAGGTTCTGACTAAAAAGCATATGCAGCCTATACTTTTCATTTCAGGTAAAAAAATATTTTCTAAAAAAGCACCTTTCATACAAAAAATCTAAACTCTATGGAATAATGAAATCATATATACAGTAAATATACATCTAGTCCTCCACATTCCCAGGGAATATGTTCCTGAACTGCCCGCAGATAATAAAAGACAAATACACTGTGAAAAGTCTCCTCTACACTAGATATACTGTATATACCATGAGTATACCTAATATGCCTTGTAAGTAAACATAACAACAGAGCATGACAGAAAATAAATGCAGTGCTGCAGTTTTCCATTATAAAAGGGACTATATTAAAAACAAACATGAAGTGCATTCCTTTTTAGTTACTGATAACGGTAATAGTCAGGTAGATGTGATGGGTATTGTATGCACATGAACTACTTTACATTCTGTTGATGGTGATGATTGGTAAATCCGATGCCAAGAATGAAGTTAATGATTTTACAGTGGTGTCTTCCCTTATTTGTGTTTACGTGTGTATAATGATTTTAACATGCACATGCCAACTAAAAGCAGCAAAAGACTGTGATCATGCATAGTCCGATGCAGGGGTGCAGAGTAAATAGAGAACTGGGATGAGATGTGGTGGGTAAGGCTGAAGAAAAAAACGCATGCATGAATTTTTAATTGAGTAATGGAGACTGTCCGAGAAGTTTCTGGCTTCTGAGAATGTTCTAGAAGCCTCAAGATTGCCTCTCGAGCCAGGCGTGGTTCAGTGTTTAAGGATTTCTGTACTTTTAAGTGTGCACTTAAGTTTGCATATAACCATTTAAGAATAGTCAAATTAATAAAAAATCACCCTGCATTTAGAATTAAATATAGGTGCAAGCACAGACAGGAACACTACAGAGTTGAAGCACATTAAAAATATTGTTTATAAATCACAGACTGACAGAGGTTTCCTGTAAATTTCAATCAACTTAATTTACTGTAGAACTTTGACCTGTTAAACTGTTAGTCTTATGCATATTCATGGGAAAATGGACCTGATACAGAAGTGAATTGAGAGATCAATATCTTCATCACAGCAGAAGTTTTATTCTAGTTAGAACAGCAAATTGATTACTCAAAATGGACTTTGCACTCCATTCACTTTAATCACTAATTATAAGTTGATTCTGATGCCAGAGGACATCTCGGCAGGTTATTTAGGTTGAATGGCCCAATATGTTACTGCAGCATCTGACTAGAAATTTGGTTAATAAACCCAACTATTCTGGACGCAGTTTTTGCAGACATGGATGAAAAACAGACAGCTCAGTCCCCCCGAGCTGTCAATAAGGATGATGAGGAAAGTAAAACTTTAACTTGACTTCATATGCAGAAGACTAATGCCTGCATTAACTGATTTAACTCGAAACAAGTGAGGTATTCTCATTGTAGACCAGGCAGCTATAACAAGAAAGTCTGTAGTGGTAAAAGCCAGGGCCTACAGGGGTCTTGTATGACAGTCCTACAGAGTGTAAGGATTTATATGCTGTGATGACCTGTGGGTAGAGGCAACAGGAGACATCCACATTACAAATGGTCAAACCTGGGAAAGACATTTGCAGATTCAGAGCGGAGGTTAGGGGGGTGAATGTCTGACTGGGGAGAACTAGAAGGGCAGAGTGTCAAATGATGCTGAGCAAAAAGAGAATTGAGAAAAAAAAGAGAAAAGAGAAAAGGCTCAAGAGAATTGCTTTAAGGGGAAGTCTTTACCACACTGTAGGCAGGTAATAGACTGAGTGACTGTGGATGGTTTAGCCCAGTATTTCTTAAAGGTTCCCTGTGAAAATCTACATTAAGGGAAGACTATGGTGATGAGTGTTTGCTGCACTTATTTGCCACTTTACTAGATCATTTTTGCTTCTTTAATTGACATTTTCATAGTATAATACTGGGCGAATTCTACTAAATGTCTGCTTCAGGAAAGGGCGGCAATCCTGCAAGTAGTTATTAATCAATAAATGACAACGTCATAAATATGCTACAATTTCATACCGGTTGATTGACAAAAGCATTAATGATCATTTTTATTGAAATGGTGTGTGAAAAAAAAAAGATAGGTGAAATACAATTGCAATTAATTTGCGTTTCTGTTTATCAGCATAACTTTATAAAAGAATCATGACCTATGTGATATGACTTAAGAATTTTGTTGGTTTTTTTCCTGTTGCTTTCTGTTGCAATTGTGATAACTAGTAAATATTCCTGTTTTAAGGACAGATTTTGTCAACAGTCTGTATTTATTCCCATGTTATCAATTTATTTTGCATGGGCTTCATTCTGTCTCGTTTTTCCCCCGATACCTTGTGCACGGAGCTTGATGCAGCTGTTTCATGTCAGTGATCAATGCAATCTGTGAAGCTGTAAGAAAAGCTTTTACATCTGTAGCACAAACATGGTAACTAACTCATAGCTAATGGGATAAAATGTGTAATGAAGGCTTTCACGAGGGCAGGTCTTAGAAGATGAAAGAGTTTCCCAATGCAGTTGAGCGAAGTTTCAGAACAATATGTTACCATTCCTTCAGTCTTTTTTTGGCATCAGTTGAGGAAGTGGGAATAAGAACAGACGCCTTGGGCAGGGCCTGGTGCACTAAATGGACAACAGCTTGCCTGGCACAAAATCAACCATGGCACAGACCTGCTCTGACTGAGATCAAGCACAGATTGGGCTTCTCCAACCAGCACTTGTCCAGAAACCAGCAAACCTGGTTTTGTTCTGAAGGGACTCCTGGCTGTGTTGTGGAATTCCTTCAAACTTGTACCCCACTGCAGTCTGTATTTTTCTCTTGTTTTTGATAGGTGCGAAAGGATTTCCACCTTTTCCAATGTTTTGTTACAGCAGTTTTGTATTTAGTACTGCTAAGGGGCTGATTTGTATTCTTGGAAAGCTATAATTGATGCCTTTTGCAGCATGGATAAAAGTTAAACTGATGATTTAGTGAGGCATGCTGACTTCCTTGTTTTCTGTAAGATGAGGCCTTCTCTAGCTAAGGGCCTTGTTTTCTTCCACTTTGATTAATCATGAACAGTTCATGATTTGCAGTTGTTCTTGTTACCTCAGAAACCAGAACAGAGCTTTTGACCCTTTGGGGCCTATGTGGTGTTTCTAACTCAGCTATCCTTTCTATGACGCTTAACAGAATTGTTATTTTTTTATTTTCCCCATACAGAGATAAGAATAGCTTTGGAATTATGGACATTAAAGAAAAGTCACATCTCATGTGCTAGCTTTAAGACAAAAAAAGTAAAATAATGTATGAGTAAACATTTAATGTTTTATTTGTAATGTATGTGTAGGCTATTAACACCTGAGAACATTTTGTTATTAATAGGAGATGCTTTTTATCTCCTGGTGAGGTGTTTCCTTTGACCTTTATTTTGGGGAAAGAATAGAGAAAAATGTTCAGGATTTGTATTTGTTGTAGACAAAACATCTATAAATGTTATCTCAGAAAAAGTTTATTACTAATACAAATGATCTATTTCTATGTTTACTTTTGAAGTGAATAATATTTCAGAAATCAATTGCTCATTTTGTTACAATTTTTCTGTTTGACTAATTGTTTGAATAGCTTCCTGTTTTGGCAACGTGTACATTTTATGTGTACTGTATGTAGTCCAGGTAGTAAACAGAATGGAAATGTTCTTTTAGCTCCAAATATGACTCAGTCATGCTTAAAGGCATTATCATCGCGCATATTTTTTTTAAAATGTGTCTTCCACCTATAATGCTGAATCTTTTGAAGGTTGTGTTCAAATGGTGGTGGTATTGAGATTATTCATTGGCAGATCTGCATGTTGTTGCCTCACTGCAAATGGGAGAAATTTGCCTGTTTCCATTGCTTGTCTGACTTGAGTAATGGACCTTGTTGTGAATGTTGCCAGAGAATGGAGTTTCTGAATATAGGTGCTGTGTCATCAGATTTTACCATACCCAACTGTCATTTACCTTTTATACCATTTATTCTTTAGTCAGTCTAGACTAGAACACAACAGTACAAATATTTTTCCATAACTAATTTGTTTTTCATTTTTCATTAAATGTTTTCTCAAAATAGACTGGAAGGAAGAATATTCCTTTTTTGAACAAAATTATCCTTCCTGTTTTTTACACACGGTGAACACTCTACTCTGCATTCTTCATTTGCCTATTATATTCTTGTTTTCACTTGAATTTGTATTTAATTTTTAAAGAACAATGAGGTGTCTGATTTTTTTTTCCATATCTGCAGTTTTATGCAGGTGTGCTTTTTTGGTGTTGACAGGGTGAGGCCTGTTGGTGTGTTTGTCCACCTGAGGGAAACCATGGCTGTTTTTTCTTCTGCATTATTGATTTCAGATGGCCTGTACCTCTACCAGCTGCTCCTCATTAACCCTTCTATAAAGAAAGATGTTTACATCTCTTTTCATTACAGTCCGCCCTTTGTTTCAGTACTGTTTCGCACACCATTTGGATTATTTTTTCAAGCTACTGTGTGAAAGTCTCTGTGTTTTTACCGCAGTGACCTTAACCCTTTTCTTTGACCCCTCCACTCTAAGTCTGGTCAGTGTGCATGTCTCTGTTTTAACCTTAAGTGATCTCAAATTCTCTAAACAATATCACATCTTCCATACAACTGCTAATTATTATGGGCGACAGTGGAATCCTGCCCATTAATTTCTTTGGAGAAGATGGATTTTGCTTTGAATTTGTAAAGTACAAAAGAAGTAACTTGTGTTACTATCAGAGGAAATATATTTTTAAATTCACTGACTCAGGAATAAGTAAAAGGCACATCATTTTGTATTCTTTTAAAGTCATACAGAGGCATAGTGTGGTATTTCTTTTGGGGTGTGTCACCTAATTCAAACAGTTTTGTTCTCTGATCTTACCCAATATAAAAATGTTGAATAGGTCCTTTATCCGTAATGTGACTCCACTATAATTTTGAGTGTCGTAGGTCAGTGGCCAACAATTAATAATTCTGAAAGGAGTACGTAAAAAGAAGTACTATTAAAGAAATTGGGCAAAATTTACAGTACATTGAAGAGAAACACATTTAGAGAAAAATAAAATAGAGAAAAACATCTCTTAGTTAAGTCACATGCCAGCTTAGGGTTTAAAGGCTTCCAGAGTAGCTCAAGCAGTAAAGGTGCTTGTCCAAGTACAGGCTCACCTGTAGGATTGTGGGTTTGAGAGTGTCATGTTACCATCTGTCTGTGATGGGGATTCCACTGTGTGCTGCTTGCTTTAGAATGAAATTAGTAGGCCACAGCTCTCTCAGCCCTGCAGTCTCAAGGATGCCTGCGTGTCTGCTGTACTGTCAGTGAGGGACTGCTCAGACTTCGTTATGAGACTTTGTGGCCTGTGATGTGTTAAAAGACAAGTGGGTTGAAAGTGGAGAGACAGAGGAGTCTGACTACCCTTCCTCATTCTTTCCCCTCTGCTGGTACTGGGTTCATAGCTGTGAGCCAAGATTAGCACAGTCAATTGGCGATTTGAATCAACCAAAAATAAATGGTGATTCTACATTTTAAAAAGAGAACTGCTGCCTATCTAGTGCCTTTAACCTGAGGAGAATGCCTTTACTTTGCAGATTGAATTTAAACGTACTCTCTCTCTCCAAACCTGGTCAACTACAAATTGTAAATCCAGTATTTGTTAGCTGCTTTTAGTTTGCAAAGGGCCTTTTATGGAAAGGAAGTCCTGCATCAATATATGTTCAACATTTATAATCTCTGATGTGCATGTGTATTGATGTTATGATTATGGCCTCTGCTCTCTTATATATCATAGAAATGTAAGAGCTGAAAAACAAAAGTGAAGACCATTCTAATGTTTCTCATCTCTTCTGTATCTTTTCCCTATAGGTCGAGAAGAAGCAGAAGCAGCTCTCCTGAAGGATGACCAAAGCGCTGAATGTCACAAGTGGTATGGCTCAAAACTTTGCTTCGATTTACATTTCTGAGTACTTGTTCGTACACTTACAGTGGGTTGTGGTGTTATTGTCAGATGTAGCTTAAGACAGATATTTGGAGAGATTACAAAGTTATATACAATAACGAGGAGTTTCCAGCTTCAGTGATTACTCATTAAGAGGCCGGCAGTATTATTAAGGAGATTGTGATGGACAGCTGTTCTACGAGACCCTAAGAATTTCTAGTTATGAAAGACTATTATACTTTTATCAGCCTCCATGCAAACAAGTGTAACTGAAAATCATGTTGTTAGTTCAGAAGTAACTCAGGCTTAGCCAATATTGCATCTTTTAGAAGTTAAAATGTTTCCATACTCTATACCTTTCTTATTCAGCTTATTTCCATTTTATTTTCCTTTGTATTCCATTGTCATAGAGAAAGGTGGATCATTACTTTTTTCTATCAATTATATTACCTCATCTGAACAGACAGATCCTATTTTACACCAGCGTCTTGTAAAAACCTTTCTGCTTGCATGGCTTATTTTTTGTAAAATAAAATCCTCAGATTTGTCAGAATGTGTTAATGTAGAGGTCTGATGTTAACGTAAAACATTAGTATTAGTGCTTCTACATGAATACCTCTGCACAGTGCTGTCTCTGCGAAATACACCTCTATATCCCTCCCTCACATCTTTAATTCATTCTCTTACATTCACTTATCAGATTTATCAGTATTTTTATTGGTAAGTAATTGTAGTACTTTTTATAAAAAAATCACCTATAGTGAATCAAGTCATCTCACTGCTTCATCGCAGCATGTGCAATGTCAGGAACTCTCATATCCTTCTATGTGCTTGCTTTCTGACCACTCAGCCCTGTGGAAGCTTGCTCAATTGGACACAGATCCTTGGGAATCCCTGGTTGCAGTTTCACCTACTGTAACTCTGATCTAAGACGTATTGGACTGCAGCAAAGGAATTCAACATCTTCTAGTAGAAGGACCTGTTTTCAGAAAGCACTTGTGAATTAATTTTAATTTAAATTGAAGTCATTTCTCAATTCATTGTTTTCACACCACTTTCAATACCGTCTTATTCAGTTCATGGTCACGGTGGCCCAGGGCCTGTCCTAGGAAGCACTATACATAAGGTAGAGTACACCCTGGGTAGGGCACTAGTCCATTGCAGGGCATACGCAGATATAAACACACTTACACACTCATGACAGGGCCAATTTATAAAAGAAGCCAATGAGTGTATCAGTATGCCTTTGGACTGTGAAAGGAAAGTGGAGTAAACCTGGAGGAAATGCAAGAAGAACATGCAATCTCCACACAGATAGCACGCAAGGTATTGAACACAGACCTCCTAGCACTGCAAGGCAGCAATGCATCGTTTAAAATTTATAATTATTGCCAATAATCCTCTTGTCAATTAAAAGTATTACATTCAGAACTGCAGGTCAGCAGACCCTCCATCACCTCTGTCAGAGCTGCTGAAAATGGGTTCCATGTGTGATTATTGATCTTACACAATGTACTGTAAAACATTTTCTAAGGGCTCCCAGTTGTTCTCTGCCCTATAGTTGAATATACTTGAACAACAGGACCCAACCTTATCTTCTGAGCCAATGGGACGTCCAAAAATACTTTTTCATATTTATTTACTTGGAAATCGTGTTTCTTTTTCTGAAAAGCCTATTTAGCAACGGTTAATATTTTAAATACCTCTCTGAGTAAATGCAGCCATAGTGAATTACAAAGAGAGAATAACAGGATTTTATAATGGTTAAACATGAAATCAACATGAAATGCACCTTTAATAATGGTTTATAAACAGCCTTTCAAAAATGCCTCTCAGCACTTTTGTACAATAGAATAAAATGCAGCTGAGCATAAAGAACAGCTTGAGTTTGTTAAAAACTGGGAAAAAAAGACACAAAAATTATGTCCAGAAGCACAACAGCTACAGAACAGGATGCAGTCTAAGTCCTTTTGTTTATATTGAAATTATTGCCGATAATAACATCCAAAATTTGAGGAAATTTCAGCAGTTTATCATGACGTAGTTTTGTATGCCACCTGTGACTATTTTGTAGTGCTCGCTGAGGTTCGGATTTGAGATCTGTTGTTTTGTGTGTGGTGGGTAGTAGCTCGGTTTCAAACTGAGAATACTGTTCTCAGATGAGGACAGTTATAGGGAATACATGTTTCAGCCAAAGTTGGATGATATCATCAAATAACCTATTGTTACGGACACCAGCTGCGATTGAGCAGCTTACAGTAAAACCTAAAGTGACTGCAATTCACAAAATGTGATAAATGCTGTGCAATTTGACAAGACAGACCCAATAATACTCTTGCTTTTTTTTAATTCACATTGGTTGGATATTTTATTACACTCCATAGGCTATTGAAATTAACTGCTAAAACCAGCTTGTTCCTTTATCTTTTCGAAAGAGACAACATAAGCTCGGGTGATACAGAATTTTATGTTTCGAAAATGATGATTAGTTGAGTGGAGAATTATGATAAATGGTACGCCAGTCTGGAAACAGAAATGTTCTTCAAATGCTATAACAAATGATAAATGACACACAAATGCTTCAAACAAGTTTGGCACTTAATACGTAAGAAAAAAATGGAGGTCAATTATGTGACAATGATGTCATTGGACTACTGTGTTCTATTAACTCCATGTGTTGCTGTTTTTTTTTTCTAATGATGTTTCATTTTGGTGTTCTTTTCTGGACCCGTAAATTAAAAACATTCACGTTTTCCTCGATAAAGGGTAAAAGGAACTTCAAAATGTGACAGGAAATGGTTTCAGAAGTAACTCCTAATCATAGCTCGAGTGGTATTTGGAGATGATTTCAGCTCTAGCCAGTCTACATGCTTTGTGGTTTTATAGGAAGTGACTTACATTGCAGCTAAGATTCTTTTGGAACAAACATGGTCTAATTTCTTTACACACAGAAGAGGTGTAATTGTCTTTATGATAGTAATAGGCTCATAGGTTACTGAATTGATAGATGTTTTTCCCTGCTTGAGTGTCTTAAAATTACTTTGTTTGAATGTTCTATCTTTATATCCCTGTCCTATATTTTTCTTTATTGGAGTTAAAACATCATTAGGGGTTATACTATAAGTCTGACTGGATGTTTGTGTTCACCGAATACATTTAACAGGTTAATCACAGTCATATTGGAACTGAAAATGCATTGTCAGAATATCTTGATCAAATCCAGTTTTTAAATTTTCAAGTTATTGAAGCTTTAGGCATTGCTCCCGAGTCTTTCCCTAAAAGGAGTTGCAAAAGAACACAGCTGTGTCTTTGTCGACAATTGCTGTGTCAGTAAATTGAATTATTTTCCAGTAGTTTAACCTTTTAAGATGCATTTTCTAAACAGGTCAGATTAAAGTTTTCACTAACTAAAGTATTTCATTAAAGAACACATGCTATACAAAGAAAAGACTTATGGGCTGATATAAACTGAAGGCCTTAATGAATTATTGTTGTTACCTTGCCTGCCCTTTTAATGCAAGACTTAATTTTAAAGAACAAAATAGGATGTAAACAGGAAAGTCCTGCAGTGAAATATTGGGTAGATTGTTTTTTGTTTCTCCAAAGAATAAGATTTTAGTTTATATCTGTCTAGTCTAAATATTTGTCATAAGCAGTAGACCAAAGTTCTCTTTTTCAGAGGATCAAGGTCTCTTTCCACCATGTGTCTGCGGAAAGCTGCAACATGGCCCAATAATTGTGAGAGACTTTCATGTCTCCATTATCTCTCACAATATGTTTAATGAATTGTATGTTATACCACAGCATAAACTGCATTTACTAACCAAGTCCTGCAAGATATAAATTATTTGTTCCTGTCCGTCACATACTCATGGAGCTACAATAGTGAGTCTGAACAACTAAATTGTAATGCATGAACAGAGTATCCCAGCTGCCTTTTATACTGTTTCTTGCTCAGTCCTTTTCTCTTCAGGTTGTTTGCCTTGCCAAAAGATAATTTAGATTTTCTGTGTAGCCTGAGTACACCTACAGTATGTGTTCCCTTTTCAGTAATAGCAGTTTCAAAGGTTTGCTGAAATGGCCAGTTTTTGGACTGCTTCCATTCACTAAATAATGGACAATTTGTGTGCCAATTCAAAAGACCTCTGTACTTGAGGCCCACTTGATATTACCCTGGAAGAATATTATTCTGGCTGTTGCTAGTTTCAATATGAGTCAGTATTTGCATGTGCATTTTTCTGGAAATTGTAGTTTTGGACTCCTGGGACACATAATAATGATAGAGCCAGACTTCTACTTTGACAAGTAAGTCTTGGCATGGTAATGTCAGATAACAGTAAACAAAATGCTTTGCTTCAGGGAAAACTAGAAGGAATGCCTGTGGCAGCATAAGTGGAATTTATTGCAGTATGATACATACAGTTCTCTGCCAAATTCTGTCGTGAGCTGCAAACAAAATTTGAAATGGTTAATGACAGTTCCACACCAAAGAGTGTAAAAGTGCTAAACAGTGTAGATCTGTGGTTAAAAAGCCTTAACTGTGTTCAACCACGGTCACATCAGAATGAGTACTGGCTGGGCGCTTAACCCGCAGACTTGAAACTGAACACTTCTTGCACCAACTCTCTTACTTCTAAGTCATATATCAGCTTGTAACAGCCCTTATAAATAAAAGGTGGTTACTGTGGCTAAGCGTGCCACCTATACCTGACCCTCACAGCCCCTTTGTTGCATTTAAATTATTTGACATCCTTCAAAATGCACAGTGATAAATTATTTGTGTGATACTAATTAAAAGACCATACAAATATTCCCTTTGTATGGGAGCAAAATTGTTTTCATTTGACAGTTTTTGCAGGTATAAATATTTTGTTTTTAGAAACATCTTGTATGTAGTCCAAATATATATGCAGTATACCCGAAGAAGACACCGCTGCTGAAAATGTTTTCCTCTTTTTACTTTTCAGTGTTGAATTAACCTTACATTG